CTATTTCTATTTCTATTTCTATTCCTATATTTAGATTTTATTTACATTTATATACACATGCACATACAAATACATAAAATAGTTAAATATGCATATATACATTTATATTCTATAAATTAGAAAATATATTATGTAAAAATATAAGTATATAAATATAGAAATATACAGAATTACATATGAAATTATATATAAATATAAAATATATAAAATATAAACAGGTAAAATATATATAAACCCAAATATATATAAATATATTAAAAATATATATAAAAATATATAAAAGCAGAGGGAGAAGTGGGAGCACTCTCATGATCCAGGAATTTCTCCCACTCAGTGTTGGTGGACCAGAGTCTGATCTGTTTGGGACTGCAAAAAAAAATCTCAAAGAATCTGAATACTGGAGCAGAATCACCCTGAGCTGTGTGGATTGAACACCTGAGTGACCTCCTGCAGCCCACCATGTGTCTGTGAGTGAGAGCTCAGGGATGTCCTGGGACTGTTATGAAAACCTTGGCACTCGTGACCCCCTGCAATGCCCAGAGGGCACCTGGGGGCATGGAAATGCTGTATTAAACCAAAAATGACACGTTAGAAGTTAAATTTGGCTTGGGTTTTGGGGCAAGGGCCGCAGCTGACTGTTATTTAATTTGGCCAAACCAGCCTGTGGCAACAGAGGCAGAGGATGGACCTCAACCTTTGACTGTGCTGAGAGGAGATTTTGCTGGCCAGGGCATTTTTGCAGTGCTTGTCTTCTGATAAGTGGAGATGTGAATAATCCCAGCCAGGACGAGCTGGGCTTTGCCAGGGGGGGGATGAGCACAAGGCAAACATCTCCACACAGCCCCAGGCAGTGCAGAAGGGCACCCAGGCTGATGGGGAGCTGGGATCTCTGCTGCTCATCCATCTCTTGCTCATCCCTGTGTTTTTCCAGGAGATTTTGCAGGACTCTGCCTCTCCCCAGGGATGGGGCCTGGTGATAATGTGCTATCTCAAGGCATGTTTCCTGCTCACAGCACCAGGGTGCCAGGGCCAGCACTGTTCTAGCAGACAGGAAGGTGACTACAAGTTTACTACAAGTTTCCAGGGAAAAGGCAATTATTGTATTTGCAGGGATTTTTGTGGTAAGAAGAATTTTATTTTATGTTTTCGGAAGGTTAATTTATTATTTTATGATATTATATTATATTAAAGAATATTATATTATATTAAAGAATACTATACTAAACTATATTAAAGAATACAGAAAGGGTATTTACAGAAAGCTAAAAAGATAATAATGAATAACTCGTGACTCTTCCTAGAGTCTCAATATAGCTTGGTGGCACTGATTGGTTAATGAGTGAAAATACTTACAGCAGAAACTAATGAAACAATTACTTGTTGGATAAATAAATTTTAAACACATTTTACATGAGCAAAACAGAGGAGAAGCAAATGAGATAATCATTGTTTTCATTTTTCTCTGAGGCTTCTCAGCTTTCCAGAAGAAAAATCCTGGCCGAAGAATTTTTCAGAAAATGTGAATGTGACAGGCAATGACTTGTTAAACTGCAGAGGACTTTTTTATCATGGTAATTCTTCTTTCTGTGTTTTTTGCTTGTTTTAGTCAATCAAAAGCAAAACAAGCAATGGAGATCCCACAGGTTGGGCTCTCAGTGAGGCTGTGCCCCATCAGTGCTGTGTGACACGGGGCTGTGCTGACCCACAGCTGGGGGATGTTGGTGCCAGGGGTGAGGCTGTTCAGGGTTTGTTACAGTCCCCGTGGTGCCCTGGACATCCCAAACCTGTTCTCTGGTGGGTGCAGGAGGAAGAGGGGGATTGCAGCCCATCCTTTGGGCACTGAGGGATGCCCAGCCCACACCACTGGCTGCATTTTCCCTTCTGTCCTCCATGCCCAGCAATGAACCCCTCCTTTGCTCTGTGCCCAAACCTCCTCCCTTGGCCCTGCTGGCACCTCCAGTGGAACTCTCCCATCCCAGTCTGTGGCAGCTCCTGGAAATGAGCGATCTGGGGGTCCCAAAGCCCCGGGGAGGCGCTGGGAGCCCGGGTGCTGCATTCCAGCACAGCCCTGGCAGCTCCGGCAGCCTCAGCCCCAGGGCGGCCCTGCCCCTGCCCGGGGGAGAGGGTGAGCTCCTGGTGCCGGGGGTGAGACTGGGATGGACTGGGGTGTGCTGGGATGGACTGGGATAGGCTGGGAGGCGCTGCGATGTGCTGGGATGGACTGGGATCCACGAGGATTAGCTGGGGTGTACCGGGCTCTACTGGGGTGTACTGGGATCCGGGGGATGTGCTGGGATGCGCTGGGATGAACTGGGATGTGCTGGGATGCACTGGGAAGTGCTGGGATGGACTGGGAAGCGCTGGGATGTACTGAGATGTGCTGGGATGCACTGGGATGGACTGGGGTGTACTGCGAAGTGCTGGGATGAGATGGGATGAGCTTGAATCCGCGGCGAAGCGCCGGAATGCGCTGGGAAGCGCTGAGATGCACGGGGATGGGCTGGGATGCGCTGGGAAGCGCTGAGATGCACTGGGATGTGCTGGGATGCGCTGGGATGCACTGGGAAGCACTGAGATGCACTGGGATGTGCTGGGATGCGCTGGGATGCACTGGGAAGCGCTGAGATGCACTAGGATGTGCTGGGAAGCGCTGGGATGCGCTGAGATGTGCTGGGAAGCGCTGGGATGCGCTGGGATGCGCTGGGAAGCTCTGGAATCCTGAGCAGAGCCGGCTGCGCAGCCGGGCTGGGGCTGATGCGAGAGCGGCTCCGGGCTGCGCTGCTGCCGCTGCCAGGGGAGGGGAGGGGAGGGCTGGGGAGGGGAGGGGAGGGTGCCGAGGTGTGCCCGTCACCCCGAGCAGGGGGCTGGCCCTGAAGGAGCTCTGCTGTCTCCCCAGAGCCTCTGTGAGCACGCTGTCGGCACAGACCCACCGGCAGGGAGGACGGCTCAAAGGCAGTGAGTATCTTTTTCTCGGTGTCTGTCTGTCTGTCTGTCTGTCTGCAGTGCCTCCGTGCTCGGTTTTTCCCCCCGGCTTTCTCTGCATGTGAATGGATGGTCTTAATCTCCCGAAGCCCCCCCGAGAGATCTCACGGTTTCCCGTTCTGTTTATTTGTTTGGTTGGTTTTTTAACCTTTGTGCTGCTGGTTTGTTTGTTTTTTTATTTTTTTTTTTTTTTTTGTATTGGGATGGCTTCTTTATCTTTGCCCAGGTGGTTTGATAACCTGAATGTCCTAATCACAGCCCTCCCTTGCTGTCTGTCAAGGAGAAACCCCCAAAACTCATCCATGTTGAGGCTGGTGGTTCTCCTTCACTGGATTCCTTTCATAGGAGGGGGAGGCAGGATGAAGGATGGAGCAGGGGAGGCAAAACCTCTCACCAAGACCTTTATTGCAATTTGCCAGCCACCACAGATTATATTTTAAAGTCAAAACTGACTGGATTTATTTGCAAACAGAGGGAGCATCCACGGGGATGCCAGCTGAGCAGTGGGATTGCCTCCATGGGGAATGCAGGTCCCAGCACCCCCGAAGTCAGACAGACTTTGGGGTCCCAGGGAAGTTGGGTGCTTGCTCTGGGGGCTGAGTGGGTGGCAGTGGGGGTGAGCAGAAGGCCCTTTCATAACAGAACCCCAACATTCAGGCTGCTGGAGGAGGCTGCAAGGGAGAGAGAGAGCGGATGGCTCCTCTGCCAGCTCGGAGCAGCAGTGGCAAAGGGAAGCAGGAGCTGCTGGACTCTAGGAAGTCATGTGCTGTGGCCCCACATGGGGGTGAGGCTGTTAATGAGGAAATTTAGAGGGGCTTAAGGAATTACAAGGATTGATTTCAGTCAGAGAAGCAGCCGGCCGGGGCGAGGATTAAGGGAATGCGCTCACTGGCATTGCAGCACAATCCCAGCTCCATTAATTTAGTGGGGAAGAGGCTTTGTGCCTTTTTAATGTAATCAGGGTTTAAGAGGGATGGTGCACCGGGCAGCCCAAGCTCCAGGGTGTCCCCAGGCCCCAGCAGAGCAGGGTCCTGGCTCCTTGCACACCCTCTCAGCTCTCATCAGCTCCCTGGGCTCCTCCTCGGTTGTTCCCAGTGACACCGTGACATGGAGGGTACCTGGAGCCTGGCAAACCAGAAACCTTTGCCTTGGCTCTCTGTAGAGTCCTGTTCTCTGTCCCCTGGCTCTCCTGCCTGCTGGATCTCACCTTCACTCTCTGTTGATGTGAGAGTTGTCAACCAGTGATCCCCAGTGTGCCAAGGCTCACGAGGAACCTCCTTCCTTCCTTCCTTCCTTCCTTCCTTCCTTCCTTCCTTCCTTCCTTCCTTCCTTCCTTCCTTCCTTCCTTCCTTCCTTCCTTCCTTCCTTCCTTCCTTCCTTCCTTCCTTCCTTCCTTCCTTCCTTCCTTCCTTCCTTCCTTCCTTCCTTCCTTCCTTCCTTCCTTCCTTCCTTCCTTCCTTCCTTCCTTCCTTCCTTCCTTCCTTCCTTCCTTCCTTCCTTCCTTCCTTCCTTCCTTCCTTCCTTCCTTCCTTCCTTCCTTCCTTCCTTCCTTCCTTCCTTTTCCTTCCTTTTCCTTCTCCTTCCTTCCTCCCATTTCCTTCTCCTTCCTTCCTCCCATTTTCCCATTTCCAGGCTCTACATCTCCTTGGTAGGTTCCCACCACCCCAACGAGGCCCTGCTTGCTCTGAGTGATTTTTGTGTGAGTGCCTGAGCCCTGGTGGTGAAGGAGCAGCCCCTGCAGATGTGTGAAGTCCTGCTGTTGTTCTGTTTGCAGTGCCAGCTCTCCCGTGATGCCTGGCCACTGGCACCAGCCATGACCTGCAGGGACAGGCACAAGATGTAGTTTGTGACCCTTCCTAGCAAGGCCAGCCTGGAGCTCTGCCCCTTGAGGAGAAACCTTCAGAGGTGCTGGAGGATGAGTGGGATAATGCCAACTCCTGCTGCTCCCTGGTGAGCTGGGACACCAAACTCACCCTGCTTCAGACCTGAAGCTGGACTTGACCTGGTGTTAGAAGGAAATGCTGTCTCTGCTCTGTGGCCACCCCTCAGCTCTCAACGTCTTCCATTGAACAGTTGACTTTCCACTCTAGGAGGCAAGGATCAAATGGGTTGAGGACAACTGGCCCTTCTTGGTTTGGCAAAGAGGATTCTTTGGTGCATGTTTAAGTGCCAGGACATGAAACAGTAAATCCCTTCCTCCTGCACTCCTGCCTCCTGCAAGCAGCCCTGACTGAGGTCCAAGCCAGCCAGTTAAAGGGTTAACCATAGCTGGATGCCTGCATGGCTGCCTTACTGATCCCACGGAGGTAACTGGAAAAACCAGAGTGCATCCCCACCCCTGCCATCCTGTCCCTGTCCACCTCGTCCAGCAAGCCCCTCTGCCCACTGCAGTGTCCCTGCTGCCCTTCCCTTGCCTCTCCACCTCCTGCACACCCAACTTCTCTCCCCCTCTTTCTCCCCTGTGTCCTGGCTTGGAAATCCTGACTGAGAGAAGTGTTTTCCACGAGGAACCAGCTCCCTGCTCTGATTCCCTGCTGCAGTCCCTTGATCTCAGGCATCCCAGGGGAATGGGAGCAGCGCTGCTGCGCTGACGCCTGTCACACCTCTTGCTGGGAAATTCGTGAGCAAACAGAGCAGGGCACAGAAAGGTGGGGGTAGGAGGCATCTGGAGAAGGATCCTGCAGTGGGTTTGGTGTCCAGCTGGGAATGTGGCACTCCCTGTGCTCTCCTCTGGAGTTTGTGCAGTGCCCACGGCCGTGGGGCCGTAGTTGGAGGCTGTGCAACAATTCCTGTGGCTGAGGAGTTCCTGCTTTTTGTGCTTGTTAAACGCTGTGAGCTGCCTGTGCTGCACCAGGGAGACACTCGGTGCATTTAATTAACATTTAATTTGCTTGAAGATTACATTAAAATGTGCAATAATAGAAGCTCTCCGAAGGGCGGGAGGGGAAGGGGGAAACAGGCGCGCCACAGATTGGCTCAGGCACTGGTGCTGAAGTGTTCTGCAAGAATTACAGATGGAAAGGGAAAAAAATGCACTACTTGTGCAGCCACAGAGAGTATTGGGCATCTGTTTGGGAGCAGAGCTTTCAGCAGCTCCAAAGGAGATCCAGCAGCTGGAAGTGGAGATGGGGTAGCTGAATGTTCCTCCCATGGTCCTGAGGAGAGAATGGCCCAGTTTGATATCCAGGCAATCTCCAAGGGGAGACACCCTCAGGCTGGAGAGGCAGATCACAGAGCCCTTGCAAACCCAAGAAGCAGCCCCCACGTGTTTTTTGGGGAGAGGGTGATGCCAGTCCCGTGCAATGCAGGTGCTCCCCTTCCCTGTCCCTCTGTCCTGCCCATCCCGGGTTATGTAATGAAGGATGCTGCGGCTGCTGTCCTGGGAAGGGGCTGGGCAAGGACACCAGGGGCTGGCACAGGATTGAAGGCTCTGGGGCTGGGCTGAAATTTAGAGGAAAAAAGCTTTAAAGCCATTTTCTGCCTGGGTAAGCGTGTCAGGAGCAGGCAGTTTGATCCTGCTTATGTAATCCTGAGTCTAAAGAAGCCGCTCGGGATCGATCCTGGCTGGGAACTCAGGGGGCTGCAGCACAGGCTCACCTTGCAGGTGCCTTCCTACCCCTCTCCTTCCTCCAGCCCCCTCCACCTCAGGTATTTGTGCTGGTTTTGGTGCTGCTGGAACGTGGTGACCAATTTCTTGTACTGCTGCCCATTGCTCTCCTCCCACACCCGACCAGAGCAGGACTTTCCAAGAAACCATCCCCAAATGCAGCCCTTCAAAGCCTTTCTGCCAGCCAAGGCAGCTGAAAGCCTGGTGTGAGGGAGCCTTCAGCTGCTCTGGTGCTGTGTTCACCCTTAACATCAGCCTGGAGATGTCTCAGGGTCCCTCTCACACACGAGGGAACCAAGGACACAGACCTGGCACAGAGGTTTTTCTTTTTTTTTTTTTGGGTTTGTTCTTTTTCTTTTGCCAAGCTGGCTAGACTTATAATCATCCTTGTTCTTTGGTTTTCCCCTGCTAACACCCCTGCTTCCCCACCTCGACCACAGGAGCAGAGGGATGAGGACTCGCCTGGGCTGCCTGTCTCACAAATCAGACTCATATAATGATTTCACAGCTATTCTTCCGGACAAGCCCAACCGGGCTTTGAAGTGAGTATAGCTGCAGCATCCCACCCCAACCCCACTCCTGCCCTTCCCCTCCCCACCCACCACCTCCCCCCTGCAGTATTGTCCTCCTTTTGTTGTGTTTTGTACGAGCTGTGAGCGCTTCCAGGAGGAAAACAAACCGGCACTGATGCAGCAGGAGCAGCCTCGGGAAATTCCTGGATCTGTGGCACTGTGAGACAGGACGTGCTCCCAGTCCCCACTGCTGGGTGTGGGACACATCTGCACCTCTTTGGGGATGTAATTTACACCTCTGTCATCACAAATCAAAGCCTGAGCAGTTGGCTTGGTCTAAGGGGTGACCCGAAATTTCAGGTCATCTTCAGCTCAGCCTTGTATTTGACACAGCAAAAATTCGGGTGATGGTTTGCAAAATGCTGGAGGGAGATGCTTCAACCCCTCCAGAGTCCTGATTTGAGAAGTGTGGGATGGGGCTCATCTGATCACAAGTCCCTGCTTCCACCTGAGATAAGATCTGTCCTTCCCCTGAAAGGCAAGCAAGAGAAATAAACACTTCTGCAGGGCTGAGTTCCATTTTGCCTGACTTTTGGCTTTTACAATGTAAATGTCTGCATCTGAGCTCGTTTCCTGGGCCTCTGCTCAGAGTCAATGAGGAAAAATTGGTGCCTTTTTGGGTATGAATTATCTGGCCTATTTTACCTGCCTGCCTGGGGACGTGAGCTGAGTCCCTGCGGGTCCCTTGGGATCTCCTCCCTGATTCTAAAGGAAGCCCAGGGTCACTTGGCTCAGTTCTACACCCTAGACCTCCAAAATCAGGTGAGAGGAATCCCAGCCTTCCTCGGTGTCCTCACCAAACAGCTCCAGAGGGGAGGAGCAGCTGTGGGCTGTCTGTAACTTGCCCCTTCCTTTCCTTACAGAAGACTCTCAACAGAAGAAGCTACAAGATGGGCAGACTCTTTTGATGTCCTTTTGTCCCATAAATGTGAGTAGAGATCAAATTCTACCTTTTTTCCCCCTCCTCTTCCCTTAACCCCTGTCCAGGGGCATGGTCCCCCAGAGCTGCTCACTCCCCAGCAGTCACCATCCTTTACAGGCAGGAAAAAGGAGAGTTTTGTGTGTTCCCTTCACATCTTTGCTCCTGACCACAAGGAAAACCACAACTGCTAAAGCCATCAGCCCAAGGTGCTGCCTTTTCCAGCTCAGCACCCTTGACCAGCTTGCCCTGGCACAGAGGAATCCCCCTTGTTCCCCCTGGGCTGCAGTTACCACAGCAAACCCAAAAATTTCACATCCAGAGCCCTCATGCCAACCTATAATCAGCAACCCCTGCTCTCTTCAATCCTGTGAGTTCTCTTCTGCAAATATTGCTCTGCTCCAGCAGCATTTTCACACTGAGAAATTATAAACAAAGCAAAGTTCCCAGCATGGGTTCATTCATGAAGAAAAAAACCCAAATGAGTTGAGGCTGGGGAAAAGCCACCGTGGGTGCTGAACTCTTTCATGGCAATAAGGAGCTGTCTGGCTTGCTTAGAGACCCAGGTTTTCCTTACATTTTAAAATGTAAGTGTAAATTATGTTATTAAGCTAATTTTAAGGTAATTTTGCCAGGTTTCTACTGAGATGACAACAGTTTTGGCAGGGAATTAAGTGACAACTTTAAAAAGGCAGGCTGACCAAGGCAGGAAAAAGCAGGATGTAATTTTAGCAGCAGTATCTAGTTGAGATCATTGCTCTTGCAGCCAATAGGGGAAAAAATATATGGTGTAGCTGGGTATGGCTAAAAAGGAACGTTTCTTTTGTGGAAATTCAGAACAAGAAGGGGAAAATACAGCAAAGAGATTACAGGGTACCTGGGGGATGGAGAAAGGGGAGGGCAGGATTTTCACACCCCTGTTATCATCCTGAACTCAAACCCATTTCTTCTTCAGTGGTGTAAAAGTAGAAATTTTCTTTATTTGACTGCAGAAGAAGGGCTTGGATCACAAACCCCAGTGAATTTACCCACCTGTGTCCTGATGTTATACAGATTCTTCCCTCTTCAGCTGACTACTGCAAAAATGCAAAATCAAACCTCAGTTCAATGATTTTGTCCAGCAGCCTCCATGAGGGTGTCTGGTTTTATTAATAAATTAGCCTTAGAGAGTGATAAATGAATTATCAAGACCATTCCCATCTCTTACAATGGAAAGTAATTCTGATAACTCTCTGGCACTAATGAAAAATATTCAGTTTCTAATGAAAAATATTCAGTTCCTAATGGCAACAGAAGGTGATCTTTAAAATTTAAATTAATCTATTTTTATCAGCAGTCACGGTGACATTGCCTGGTGATTGGTTGGTGACAAAAAAATTTGTTGTTTAATAAACTACTTTCTAAAGGAATATTTTATAACTGCTCTGCACCTGAAGTTTCTGGAATTGCCAGCCTGGCAATCAAGGGTTATAATGATGCAAATACAAAAAGTTCTGTTGAAAAAGAAGTGTTATTTTAGTTACACTGGTTTAAAGGAGAGAACAGCACATACTCATGGAATTAATGATATTGTACAAGTTGCATTTTTGCTGTTAGGATGTGCTGATGTTACACAGGTAAGGGAGCCCTATGCCTTAACTGGCCAAAATCTGTGATTAAATAAAGCTGTGCCTGGCCTGCTGGCATCTGTCTGTGAGGGAAGCTGCCAGCAAAAATTCTGCTTTTAGTGCCAAGAGGAGGACAGAACTGCTCCAGCCTAATTTCCCTGTGACTGCTCAGGAGAATTTTCCCAGCATTAGCCAGGGAAAATTGGAATTCATGCTTGGGGGCATGGGCTCAGCACCAGCTGGGCTTGGGGAGAATTGCCCCTGGGGCTCACAGCATCAGCAGGTAGAGCACTTGTGCTTGACACATCTGTCAGAAAGTGTCTTCACTAGATGGACAGCTCATTTATTTTGGGAAGGGGACTGTGATTTCAGGGGGTTGTGTGGTGCTTTTGCTGCAGTCGGATGGATTTGGTGCCTTCCAGGCAAACTGTTCTCCAATAAAATAAACCCCAAAGTGCTGGGGCAGGGCTCAGGAGCTGATGGAGCAGCTGAAAACAGGGCAGACCTTGTGGGAAACATTGCCAGGGGTTGGACTGAAATATGGGTACCTCCTTGAGCCAGGTTCATGAGCTCTTGGAGATCTATTTCACACCCAAGATAGCTCAGCTACCTTAGGAGGCATAAAATCAGCAGGATGGCTTCTGTGGCAGTGTTGGAAACATAAAGGTTTTAATAAAAGGCAAAAGAACAAACTCTTTACAGAGAAAAACTGATCTAGGTGCCAGAGATTCTTGCTCCTGGTAAAACACCCCACAAAAGCCATGAGTTTCTTTGTTCTCCTCTTTTTCTAGTGAATTGCCCAGGTAGGACTTTTGGCTTCTGTCCAATTAGCTAATTTGAGGTGAAGTCCCAAAGTCCTAGGAGATGCCTTTTCACCTCATTGAGGAGAGAAACTTTGAGCTTATTTCCTTTATAAAGGGACGAAGGATAGTTTTGTCACTCCATCAACAAGGGGCACATTCCTATATTGGACAAGTGGCACAATTGCTCCAAGGAGCAAGAATGTGGATCAGAGCTCCCCAAGAGGGCTCCAAAGTGCCCAGCAGAGCAGGCTGCCCTCCTACAGGGAGCAAGTTCAGAGATCTGCAGCACTCTGGGAGATGGCAAAACCACTTCCTATTCCTTTCCTATTTTCATGAGTCTCCAAAAGGTTTCTTGTTGGATTATACTGACTTAGAGGTGGGGAAACTGAGAGGTGCTTTAAAAAAACTTTTATTCCATTGTCAGTCTCATGAGAAGGGTGAGACAATACAGATGTTATAATTCATGCCATCACAATCATTAATTACAACACACTCTAAGCATTTCTTGGTGTATCAGCTTTAGCCACACCATGCTGTAAATGCCTTAAAGCCAATAATCTAAAATTACCCCTCATGGGTCCTACTACAATGCTTCTTTCATAGTTCTATTTCTCCAAACTATCCAGTCTTATTTACAAAACCAGCTTTTAAAACTTATTTCTAATTTCATTTCTCTCTCAACAATATCTGTCCTATTCTATGGCATTTCTAAATCAGCATTTCTTATCTCAAGGTTTGCATTCAGATGCACACTATGTGAGCCTTCTGCCAGGCTTTGAGAATTCTCTACAAATCCATTTCCCACAGTTTTCAAACAGAAGTGACCTGAGCAGTGTCATGCATTACACAGATTCCATGGAGAGTCTCTGGGGATTTGAGCCACCTGCTCTAGTGGGAGGTGTTCCTGCACATGGCACAGGGGTTGGAATGAGAGGACTTTTAAGGTCCCTCTTAGCCCAAACCATTGTGTGATTCCATGATCACCTTTGCCACACATCCCTTGAAGTGTGACAGTCCTGGGGAGCTCCCCTGATCTCCTCTCACCCTTCTGAAGAATGAGTGACTGTGCAGGTAATGTTTGATCCTGTTGTGAGAGGAGGACTGAAATCCCTTGGGATTTGAAGCAGTTGTTTTCTCCTGGGTGATTCCAGGCTGGGTAATGCCCTTGTCTCTGCACAGACTGGTCTGATTTGGATTTATTCCCCAAGCCATTCAAAGGATAATTTGAGCTGACAAGTTATTTGAGTTAACAAGACACTGTGAGCAGGAAATGCAGGAGGGCTCTCCCCACCTCCCTTTTGGGACTGAATTCCCTCATCCCTCCTGGAGTGAGCAGTGCTGAGCAGCAGGATGCAGCAGCTCCACATCCATAGGTCAGTGCAATGAAATCCCAATTGTTTTTGTTAATGGGCAGAGCAAATCAACTCAGAAACGCTGGGGTCAGGCAGACAATCCCTATTTTACACCTGTCTGAGCTCCCTGCCATGGTCCCTGGGGTCAGGGCTTCTGAGCAAGCAACAGGAGAGGGGAGCCTGATGCAGCTCTTGTCAGGGAAAATAAACCCCAGAGTAAGAGACAGAGGCAGAGTAAGAGACAGACCATGTGCAGTGTTTCCTTGGGTGCCCAGGAGGAAAAGCAGTGGTTTTAACACGCTGGATTTTGGCAACTTTCCCCATTTTGTGCCAGGGAAGCGAGCTCAGCGTGGTCCCCATGTGTGAGTGCATGCCTGTGAGTAACTGAGGAGTAATCCTCTCCCTGTGCCCGTGCCCAGGAGCTGGCCAGATGAGGATTTCTTCTGACAGGCTGCTGGAGGGAAATACAAGCCACAGCATGTCTCATTCTGCATCCCCCACAGGGCTGGACACACAGATTTTTGTTCCTCCAGCATCCAGCAGGACAGTCTGTCCTCAACCCTTGGTAAACTTCTCACCCCTACACCAAAACCATTCATCCTGAATTGCCACTTTTATCTCAAGGGTGATTTTTCTCCAGATTTTTTGAAATCTGGAGGAAAAGGTGATTTTTCTCTGGATTTTCTTTTTGTGATCTCCGTGCTCTTCCTCCCAAACTTTATTGTTGTTCTCCTCCTCCTCCTGTTGTCTACACATTCCTTCACTTCCTACACAGCACAGGAATATCCCAGCCTACTCTTCTGAGCCAGAAGAGCATTAGCATTGTGCTGCTGACAGGCAGCTGAGATGGAGGGAAGCTCTGCTCAGCAGCAGTGGGAGCACATTCGTGTGCTGTGCACAGCAATTGTGACCTTGTCCCTCCAGCCCTGCTCCCAACACCTTCTAGGGAGCCAATCCATCCATCCACCAGCCACAGAGACCCCCCCTTTGCTCCCTGCTTGCTCAGGGGGTGGAACACATGCATGAAATAAATTACTGGGCATTGCTTTCTTGCTCTGACAGTGGCAGGTGCTTGGTTATTAAACTGCCTGAATGATTTAGGCCACTGATCTGGGCTCTTCCTCGTGCTGATGAAGCTTAGCTAAGCCCTGTCTTGTGTTTTCTGCTCCCCACCTCAGTCCCTTCTTGCTGAAAGGATCCACTTTCCATCTCCTGAATGGGATTTCAGGAGTCCCTGTCCTCACATG